ATGCATCGTAGTTTTAATTCACTCCATTTCCCGCCAACCGTGCAGCGTCTGACTCTATAGCCAGTGGTAAAGTGACCATACTCACAGTCATAAACAATAATTTCATTAAATCGGTATCTTTCCTTCAACCCTTTTCTAGTCCTTGCGTTTGCAGGGGTCGTGGGCTTCAAGCACGTTGGAACTGCAATAATGGAACTTCAATTGAGGCATATGGTAATGAGATGTTAGGAAAAAAAAAAGAAAAAGAAAATTAGGAAGATAAAAAAATTCCTGCAAATTACACTATAGAATCTGTGCAATTTAAATACCAAATAAATTTCGAGCTCTTGCTTGGTGTAAAAAAAAAAAAAAAAAATCCTGCACCAACCAAATCATCCACACTTCCCCCTTAAAAGTCAAATGGCTAGCCCGCCTTCTTTGTGGATAGGAATGGAAAGGTTCGTTCCTGTGATACTACTGATTTTACTCACGATTGCATTTTGGTGGTGGCGAGCTCCATGTCCCCGCTTTAGTACATATTAGCTTGTTGTTCCCTTCCTGTTCATAATTAGGGAAACACCAGTAGGTGATCTTCGATCCGACTTTGTAATATCGTCTGTCCTCTTGCTTGTTACCAAACTTTATGTCACCAGGATCTTTACATAGTCTTGCTGTGATAACCAAAATTCGTAACATTTAATGAAGATAATATGTTCACGACTATCAATACTCAGGTTCAGTGACCACGAACAAAGCATTGAACCGAGGCGTCAAGGATCACAGATCTTTTATTTTATGTTCGCTGTACATACAACCTGTGTATGGAAAGTCTTCAACGGTCCTATTTTCTATCATTTTAAATATTTATTATTTTATAAGATGAAAGCTGTTGAATTGATCGAATTTATGTCCTCAAACATTGTTGGGAGTATTCTTATAAGAAATGAATACCATTTTAAAAACTTTTTCTTTATTAGTACATAAATAATTATAATTCTATTTAAAAGTGGAAAATTATTGGGCGGAAGTGCCCTATTTTCTATAATTTTTAATGTTTTTGTTTTATAAGGTGAAAGCTGTTCTCGTTAAATTTGTGTCCTCAAACATTATTGGCAGTATTATTATAAGAAATGAATACCATTTTAAAAACTTTTTCTTTGTTGGTACATAAAAAAATTATAATTCTATTTAAAAGTGGAAACATATTGGGGGAAAGTGCCCCCTTCCCCTCTCCACCCTGTTCCGACGTCCATGTTTCAAGAATTATAGATAACTAGAGTTCATTTAGTCCAACAAAACAAAGGTAGGCATACTCACGACATCGAGTCTTTTTGCCATCCCATGTACCAATTCCTCGACAAGTTCTTTTCTTAGTACCCCTCATGGTGTAACCATTCTTACAAGCGTACGTTACAGTGTCCTGAAATCCAAAGCCTGTCGTCAGGACTTTTGCATTCTTTGGCTTTCGTAGAGCTCTACACTTTAAATCTAAAACAAAGGAAGACCGTCATGATATTAGTCTCCTTCGCATCCTGTTGGGAGGCACAGGAAGCCCGACAAAAGGGTAGGCTGTGAAGGAGACTACCCCTCATAAGAGAGTACATATTTCATGAACAATACAAATGATAGCAAAAATATACTCACCGTTTTTGATGCAACTCATTCCACAATCGCCGTCACAAAGACATTTCTCATTTTTCTTGCAGTCTTTGTCCTTCGAACAGACTTTATCACCGATGCAGTATCGATATGGCTTGGTGTTGGTTCTTTTGCACTGTTGTTGGGCTTTGCCTGTTGACGTACAAGCAGACATATTATGCGGACGTTAAATATCAAATGTCCATCTACGTAACATCTTATCAACTGCGTATCAAAGGAAGCTGAGAAATATTTTTGTATGAAGCAGTTTTAACGTTTTCTTTGGGAGAATGAGAACTTATTTCACTTTTTTTAGGTTACTACAAACAGCGACACTTTAGCAATTTCAATATCTCAAATACAAGAACGATTTTTTTCACAAATATGTATTTTCTTTGTATTAAAAGTTAGCTAAATGGTCATCGATGACAGAGTAATAACTCTTTATCTTAATACAACTAAATTATACGTCCTTTATCCAGTTGTCAAAACGAATCGATCCACAAGCTATTCATCTTGAATTACTACAGAAAATATTGTATATTACCTTGCATTAAAAACACCAACAAAGCCCAAAGAACACAAATAGCTGAGATCTTCATCCTTAGATTCGTAGTTGAGCATCAACAGGATTAAATCCCTTATAACGGGCCTTATAACCGAGTTTAACTCGCGATGTCTGAAAGAGCAAGAATTTTCCTGGTTGCGCACTCACTGCGTGGTTAATAAATATCAAATGTCAAGTTATTAGCTCGGTTTTGATGACCAGACGTGTTTTAGCGAACCAGGAAAGCGATCTCTATGTGTAGACTTCTCTCACAGGAAGTTTGGTCGTGCATAGWTAGGTCACGGATCGGATAAGTCACGCCTTTGTTGGTATAATTAAGCAATAGTGACCTTTATACATTTATTGGTTACATGGGGGGAGGCAGTCCTTTGATGGCTTCGGGAGTGGGAGTACCGGTTTGAAGACAAGAAACTTTGGATCCTTGGGACGTGGATGCGAGATGAAAAATTTCATAAAAATCAATGAATAATTTATGAAATGTGCAATTTCAAGGTATTTTCGGGCAGCATTAGACCGCATTAGCCTCGCTTGGCATGAAAATACCTCGATGTCAAACGAGCGACCGAGCTATTTCTAATTAAATTCAAACATGCTTCCAAATAAGGTAAGACACATATACCAGCAGGGTATGGATCGTATAGAAGTTGTGGTTCTTCAGTCTCCTTTGCAGCCTCTCCCAAACGTTTTTCGCCGTCACTGGATCAACACRATGTCTGATGTTAGATTCCATTCAGTGTACGCCCAGGAACCAAGCCTAGAATTGTTGCCGAATACTATTTTTGTTTTGACATTGTTTAAATTAGTGTATTTGATTTTTTATTGGTACTAAAGACTACAGACACCGTTTATCTAGATTATTGCGGGGACAAGAAGAGCCTTAACATAAACAAAGGCTGCTGGCCTAATCAGGCTGCCACAGGAAGTCCAAACTATTGATAGCGCGCGCTCGTAATTTTCTGGTCTATTTTGCACAAGTGTTTTATTGCCTCATTAGAATTTTTCATGAATAACCGAAACAAACAAGGCTCTTTTTTAATTTATCATTGATATCGGCGCAAGCTAATTTTCGTAGCATATCAAAGAATTGTATATCATTCGTGCGGGTTCCCTGTGCT